TAGGTTGAAGGCCATCGCAGTTTGGTTGGAGGCCATCGCCTTTAGGTTGAAGGCCATCGCAGTTAGGTTGGAGGCCATGGCTAGTAGGTTGAAGGTCATCGCAGTTTGGTTGGAGACCATCGCCTTTAGGTTGGAGGCCATCGCAGTTAGGTTGGAGGCCATCGCAGTTTGGTTGGAGGCCAGCGCCTTTAGGTTGGAGGCCATGGCTAGTAGGTTGAAGGTCATCGCAGTTTGGTTGAAGGCCATCGCAGTTTGGTTGGAGGCCATCGCCTTTAGGTTGAAGGCCATCGCAGTTTGGTGGGGGAGGCCATCGCAGTTTGGTTGGTGGACTTTGAGTGACATGGAGTCGACATGGCGCCCCCGGGCCTCCTGGTAGCGGTGGTCTTTGGCGCACGCTGCGCGTGTGAAGCGCTCCAAGCGCTGCAATTCCATGGCAAAGCCCTGACATCAGCGATGTGGCTGTGCATTTCAATGGGGAGACCCCTGACGAATCGGCACGCCTTGGAGGTCTCCCTATCTTAATACACGCCCATGTCGGGAAGGATTGGATTCTGATCGTTTGTTGATCACCACAATCGTTTGATTGGTGCAAACCACAGGGCAAGCAAAACCTGCCTGCAAAACGAATGGTGGAACTCATTGTCCCAAGACTGAAAAATTGCATCTCATCTCTACTGCAGGTGCATGCACACTGCCCTTTCCATCACATACCTGGAAGCTCACGATGCTGAACACACATGAAACATGAGAAACATGAGAAACATGAGAAACATGCAACATATCGCGTTGCAATCCTGAGAAAATGCTGACAATTAGGCTTTTCAACCACTACTGCATGCTGCCCCTCCACTACTACATGCTGTGGACTCATTCAATCACTATCCGTTAAGGCACCTGGAAGAGGTGAAGAGGTGTGCATGCGTGTGACCATATGCAAGGCATGCTAAGGAGTCTTCATTTAGCGGCAGCATGGTGTGTGTTTTACCATGTGAAGATGGAAACCTCCAAACGACTGCCATAGCATGTCATTTTTCGGTGCCAATCTCTCTCTGAAGCCAGTAGGTATGGTCGTTGAGCTTTTGAAAAGTCTTATGACCACACAATCTGGCGCAAGCGTCGCAGATCGGGGCTCCCGGCCTCCCGATCCTGCCAGCGGATCGGAAGACTTGAGATTCAATTCCAGGTTGTTTGATTTGGTACACACCAAACCCAATTGGGAAATGGGACCAAAAACCAGTGGCTCTGTATTTGTAGATGGCTTCCTCCGGAGGCTACCTTCACTTCCTCCAGGCCTTCCAAATGTGCAGGTTGCTATGTCATGCAATTTCTTGCTGTCTTATCAGGGATATAAAAGAAACATCAAGTATCAACGAGTCACAAGTACAACGTAGCAGGGCGAGACGTCTGGCTTTTGATCACAGCTCTCTGTAATTTTGCTGTGACATTGATGCCGATGCTATCCCGATTGTTGCTTGCACGTGTCCGTGTCCTTACAGTATAGTCCTAGTATGGTATAGTATAGTATAGTATATTTTTAGATGTGTCCCAGTTCGCAAAAACTTGTATTGTATGCCCTTGCTTTGCGATTAATGGACATTGATCACCTGAAAAAGAGCCCATATGATCAGCTTTTCATCGCAGGCAGCCTAGGTCCCGGACGTTGCCGAGAGGACCAAGCTGATACAAATACAGGCCGGCCCACTCTCCGTAGGACAGTGGGCAAGTATCCAAGCAGAAAAATCTCTGAAAGAGCAACTCAGCCCGAACTGAGATTTCAGCTCCAAATTTTAACGCCTAGAACTCCTGGCTGTTTTCGCACATTGGTTCACAGTTTTTGAGCGACAAAACGTCCAGGAAGACTCTGCGGATCTGCTCACGTTTGGGCTCAGGTATGAGATCCTAGAAGTTCTGCTTCCGTGCATGCAATGTCTCTGGCATAACCGGATTGTGAGCAGCTACGAACTTCATGGCACTTCAAGGCCCGAAGAGATCACAGGTAGCACTGTGCACTGGCGGTGCATCGTTCGTCTATGGCAAGCAGCCATCTTTCAAACTCCAAACATGTAAGGTGAGATTCCAAACATGTGAGTCGCATTGGTACGCCATGACGATCTTCAGAGTGATCCACCTTGGCAACGGGCAGAGCAGGCAAAGCATGGAGGATTAGGGTGCAACACGGTCTGGAAGAGCTGTCTACGGTCCTTGGTGCCTTTTAAAGGCCTTTACTAGGAACAAGGACGCTACTAGTAACAAAGGGCATCGCTACTAAGAGCAAGGAAACGCTGCTGGCCTTTCTACTAGGAACAAGGACGCTACTAGTCTTCCATCCCCAAATGTACGGGAAAACCTTACACACTTTTATGACTTCGTCAAAAGAACAAGTTTCTCCAGGCGATGTCTGGGTGGGATGTCGTCCATGGATGCACACAGCGATGTCGTCCAAGCAGGTGAGAATGATAGCATGCATGTCTTTAGTAGTGTACAGAGGATCAAAAAGCAATCTTCTACAAGTTCTGACTAAGCTCAGCAAGACCCGCTTTGTTGGGGGTTCTAAAGGATTTTGCCCATCTCTGCCGATCTGCACGATCACGATGGCATAGAAGATGACCACCAAGAGCAGGATCCAAGCAATGAAGGTTCCACAGGTGAAGCCGGCGAAGAGATTCACCTGGACGAGGGGAAATTTTTATTCGTCATCGAGTGGTCTCCCGGTGAATTTTTACCTCAAGGGTCAGAAGAAGAGCTATGAGGATTGTGAAAGATTTGGCATAGAAATGCCTGCTGTGTGCTGCATTGGACTGATAAGGCGCTCTTGGACTTAGACCAGACCAAGACGACGACGCTCTGGGGCAACAGAGTGAGACGAAACGTATCTCAATGTCCATACTCCACCCAAACGGTTGCAAAAAAAAAGAGTTCGCTCACCTGTCGCCAGACTTGGGCATTTCATACAGCTTGGCTCAAGTTTGGAGCCACGTCATGCGTGACAAATCTAGAAGGACCAGACTGCCAACAACCAGCAAGGTGTTCCAGATTCTACTGTGGGATGTCTGGCTACATTGACTGGAGTGAAAACTAACTCTCTTGGCCAGTGCACACACCAACTTCAACCACAGGACAAGAGTCACTAAGAAGTAAGAAGTCGTTTGAACTCTGACAAACAAAGCAAGTGTCAAATGACTCAAATGACCCAATTCCTTCACCTTTTCCTGGTCGAATTCCAGGTCGAACTCTGAGATGCTGAAAAAGAATGTGTCATCTTTCCACATCCAACCAGGTTCCGAGGTCCAAAAAGGGCATCCCGCAAGATGCATTCTCGCCACTCCACGTCCAAACCCCGTTTCTGGGCAGAACATGCATGCACTCCATCCTCATTATGCTTCCATCAACGCCAGGACAGGATGCACTGGTTGAACCCTCCCCGGCCTGGTTGGGTCCTGTGCGAAGCTCGGTGATCAGTCCGGGCACCTTCGACGCCTGCGTTTTGAGGGGTACAGGAGGGACTCGCGAAATGGAGAGACTCAAGGAAATCCACCAAACAATGCATTCGTTACCGGTTTGTGTCAGTGTAATTCAGCCTTGTTTGAGAACCTTGCAATATCGATATATTGCAAATCAATAGCAAAGCATCGCTAGTTTGGGAGTGGCTTGAGACAAGGTTGCATGTGTTTGGTCTCTTTGGAGGTTTTGTTGCTTTCATGTTTTAAAAGAAAGTGTCCCAACTCCCAACACCATCCTTCACTTTGGGCAATGACTCACAATAATGGGGAGACCCGACAACTTAATCTAAGAGGCTCTGGCCACCCTTCTCTTGAGGGTACAAGGGTCCAATCGAAATCACACGGTTTCCTTTCGAAAAAGTGTCGCTTTCAAGATCATCCCAGCTCAAAAACCGACCCAAGAATCTTCTGGTGCCTCGCCTCTATAAGGGCCAACGTACCTCCCAATGAACCACCCGGACCGTGTGGCATGACCGCCGTCCAAACACGACCGAACCGCGCCAGAACGAGCAGGCCGATCGCCATGGACAGCACGGTCTTCATCCGAGCCTCTGGGCCTCCACCGGTGTTTCGGGCACGTTGCGGTGTCACGCCAGGCATCAAAGCTGTAAATCTGTGAAAGAACGACATGTTGCCAGGCATCGCCTTGAGAGACTTCCACAGGTCAGATTCCTGCCTGTAAATTTGAAGGTCAAAGCAAAGAAGGAGCTCTGCAGCCACAACCTCACAGCGGCGTATGGTCTGTGGTTTCACTGTACCTACTGGGCCGTGGCCGCCATGGCCTCGGCTCTTCTATGTTTATACATGACGAATTTCTGGTGAAGAATGGAGATCAAGGCCGGTCAGGGGCACACTCAGTGGCAGCAGAGTGGTAGAGATGAAGCAGAAGGTGGTACTTTTCACACCAGAATGCAACCAGTGGAAACCTTCGTGTCTTGGAGTCTCCCTTCCTGTCTGAATTCGGAAGAATGACCTGCCAGGACTCTTCCTGGCTGACAACTCCTTGCTAGGACTTGTGCACCAGTCTCTTCCTGGCTTGGAAACAAGACCATAAACCAAATGGTAAGAAAACGCAGATCTTGTTACCCTGCAACACCGGCAGTTGCGCGAAAGTTCATGCAAGCCTCCAGCTCGCTTCACCGCTAAGTAAGTAGAACAAGGCAAAAGACCAACAAAAGTCGCCGCCGGCGCACTGGATTGTGACAAACGCCATGACCCCCTGCTACAGGGTGAGAATCTAGAGAGAGGCGAAGCAACAAACCCAAACGATCAATAGCCTGATCCCACAGAGTTCACTAGGTTAATCATTTGTTTACTCCCCATTGAGACGCTTCTCTCCAGGCAACTGAAAGAGATTTTCGAAGACCAGCTTGGTCATCGTCACCTTCCAAAAACTGCAGGAGAGTAATCTTGTCTGTCTGTCTGTTGCATAGTCACATATCTAAATATATAATATATGATATATAAGCGACGCACAAAACCTCTTGTGTGTTGTAGTGCGCACTCTTCCCAACCTTATCGTTATTTTCTGTGAACCTTATGGTTCCTGAGGGTTTGGACACACCTAACAACAAGTACTAAAGCCTTATCGTTTTTTTCTTGTGAGTGATGCTGCCTTAGTCTTCACTTATACTTAGTCTTCACTGTAGTGATGCTGCCTTCATCGGAGGTTTTGGCAGTTGCTCATAGAGAGCGAGAGAGAGAGATAGTGAGAGATAGAGTATCCTGCTTTGTTCCTGTGCACATGCTGTCCATCCTATCTGATTCTGTCTTATTTGGGCGTCGGTTCATCGCTCCTCCATCTATACACCTATATTATCTATTTATCAATCGATCCATCTACCTATTATCTACCATATCCACCTACCCATCTATCTCTCCAATTGCATGTGCAATTTCATCTGTATCTTAGTCTTAGCTGCTGTCTTGGCTGCCTTGCCTCTCTTTTTCACCCACTCTGCCACGTCTATCTTCCCCATCTGAGCTGTTCCATATGTGCCGATGTCTTTGTATACCTGTTCCATCCTGTTCCTCCTATTCCCTTTCTTTGCTGTCTCCTGGCTTTCAGCTGCGGGTGGAACCATCGCTTCGATGCACAACAGGATTTTTTCTTTGGGGACTCATAGCATGTTCAAGACAAAGCTCCACTTCACAACACTCAAGGACTGACTCGGGGGACATCCTCAGGGACATGTTCTAGGCGTGTCTGATTCAGAGAGCAAGGCTCTTGCAAGTGACTGTAGCCCCTCCACACCCTGTCACACTCTTCCACACGAGCCCATAGTGCCAGGTCGCAAACAGAAGGCGTTCGTTTTGTTGTCCTTTACAGTGTGGGGCAAAGGAAAAAAAGGAAAACACTCTCCAGTCCACACATAAGCTGTCATGAAAACAAAGGCGTCGTGCAGTGTCGATCAAACACAATCAAGCTTGTCAATGTCCAAAGATTCCCATGATTAGCTGATACAACAACCCTGATAGTCTTTCTGTCCCAATGTTGTAGATGAGCAATTTGGCCATATGTGACCCCAACACCTTCCAGGTAACCTTCCAGGTAACCTTCCAGGTAACCTTCCAGGTAACCTTCCAGGTGATTCTGGGCGAATACACTCCAAAAAGCATCACGAAGCGAGGGCGAAGCGAGAGCGAAGCTCCGCTTGATCAGCCCACGTCTTCCCTGGGTCACGTCCACCAGAAAACCACCAAACGGCTTCATAGCGTTGGCACGTTGGGGGAACCGAGCTGATGCCCCCCCGAATTGATTCATAGCTGTCACGTGGGGAACGGGGAGATCTCTTGGAGTTCGGAGGCTCCTTGACTCAGCAGCTGCTCGAAAATGCCCATGCAGGCAAAGAGGCCAAGGGTTTTCTCATCATCCCTGAAGTGGTTTCGACCGGATCGGGGTACTCGTTTCTGATCGGGGCAGCTGGTGAAAAAAATCGAGGACAGTGAAGAAAATCTCGAGGACAGCTGGTCAACCAATGTTGGGGGTGTGTCAAGAAGGTGCCCTTGACATAGTCCAATTTGGTTTGACACGTATTGAGTCTTGGTGCAAATCGTGTGAGATTCCGCCACATTCTGTTTGCAAAGTCAAGTTTAAACCAAATAAGCATAGGTAAATAGAATTAAAGAGCAAGATGACACGCCTGAAATCAATCCCAACCTACTTCAACGCGGTTTTTCACGGGGAAAAACATCGTTTCCAAAATCCACAATCGCCAACAAGTCCTGAAAGAAACGATCAGGATGGTGCAACAAATCAGGACCCTTCGATCGACTGTCCCGAAAAAATGTGGCGGTTGCAAGTACATATCATCTGGGGTGTTTATCGGAGTCATTCAGGACATAGTAGAATGTTGTCAAACGTATTTGAATGAATTGTTTAGACTCTCCAGGTTCACCAAATATGCATGTGTATATATATATATAGTTATATATATATAT